TCCTGATCAAAAGAAAAGTTGTCTTTGAGGCACATCTTTCTTTGCTTTTACATAATCATAATTAATTACAAAAAGTCACAACAAAGATGTAGGCTACAAAAACAATTTGCAGTAGATTATTCTCTTTCCACTTTTGGGTTTATTATTTTAAGCATTATTATAAGACTTGGAAAATGTCTTCATTGTGAATGGCTGAGGGCTGACCAATTTAACATTACTTTTCAATTTGCACTCACCCAAAGGCTTGTGCAAATTTGGGATTTTCGAAATTTATCACTAGCATTCTTAAATTTGCACTCGTATCCAAATGTTTGTTACCTTGTATAATAACAAAGAAACAACTTACTGCATGAGAACAGTCCAGTTTCAATGTGAAACATGATGAAATGTGGGTAGCCATTAGTACGTCCTTCAGAACACTCTGACAGGCCATCACAAAGTCATGCAGAGAACAAAACTCTTCAAATCCAGACTGCTTCCCAATCGCAAATGGAGTGCATGAGAAAACTTGACCCTGACAGCTTGAGTGACAGCTCAACGCTATGACGACTTCAACTGTCGTAAATGAACAGACATTAACTATCATTGTATGATTATTGCAATATCTTATATGGGGTTCGTACTGTTTTGAGCTCTTCAAATTCCATGACTTTCCATGACCTTTTCCATTTTTCCATGCCCTGAAGTTTAGCTGCCACTTTCGAAAACTTTTAAAACTATCCTTGTTTTAGGGTCAAAATGTTCAGTTCCAGAAAATATCCATACTCCCCCCACAGAGGGGATTGGAATTTCCTGGGGGGTGAGGGGCTCTGTAAGACCAAAAAATTTTTAAAAAATGTGTGAAGCTCAATCGGAATTTCCAGAGGGGTAGGGGGAACTTAGAAAAATTCCCTTCTGTGGGGGAGGTATGGATATTTTCTGGAACTATACAATTGCATTTTTATAATCTCTGAGGCTCACCAAAATGCACGTCGTTCAAATTACCCTAACAGCGTCTGTGTGGGAGGCTAATAATTATTGTTCGGTAACTTGGCTTTAGTTTATGTTGTTCTTGTTTTGACATGTGCAGTGATGAACATAAACTATTATTTTCCATGACTTTCCATGACCAACAATTAAATTCCATGACTTCCCACGCCTGGAAAATGAAATTCTTGAATTCCATGACTTTCCAGGGTTTCAATGACCCGTAAAAACCCTGCAATATCATCATTAATTCATCATCCACATTACATTTTATTTTCTGTTTCAGATAGCATGAGGAACTGAGTTTCCTACTGGCATTTGAACTGCCAAGTAACATGCTAAGAACTTATCAAAATATATACCTGTCGGCCTGTGACTGTTTAGAAACTTCAACTTTGCAATGCATTCCATCAGTTCCCGACGACTTACAAAGTTTTGAGTGATGACTATGCAGTCACTTTGT